GAGCGACTTGTAGAGCTTGGTCTTTATTCGTTGCTCTCTCTACAAACAAAGACCAAACTTTACTTCTCAATAGCCGCTTCAGCCTACTTCAGTCCAAGTAGCACGCGTAGGCAAGAGTGATTCTGCTGAATTGGAGTTGACATTGTTGTTGGTTTTAATACTGGTTCTAAGACAGACGAGATTATCTCCCACTTCAAAGACATGACTGTTAACAGTGACGTGGGAGAAAAATCGCGAATGCTCTCTTTATCCACTCTGGAAAAAGCAGAGCTCACCCACGGTTGCGGAGGTCCATGATCTCTAGCAATATATCAAGGCAGTCACATGATAAAGAATCGCCCTGCTGAAAACTTGTTTTATAGCTAACCGCTCGGAGAGGTCCTTTCCACTCCTGACAGAACTTTCGGCGTAATTTACCGTCAATGAGGTCGAGGAAAGATTTCAAAATGGTTTGCAATTGAAATTTTTCAAAGCTATTAGCTCACTGTGCTTCATTTCCGCTTCTTTTCGATAGCCGAGATTTTTCGTTTTTTGCATTTCATTAATTTAGATTCTCTTTTATGAATGAGGGTGCCTGCGACAGCAACAACAACAAGGATGCACTGCAAGCAATAATAAATTGCGATTTGCACGCAAAACTGATATTATCGTCATTAGTCGATTTCAGCGAACTTCCGTAAAGCATTTTGCCAGCATAAAGTTTGCTATTTCCTGCTTTCGCACTTCGCTTCCTGACACTCAAAGAACGCCATACAGACTTACAATAACTACGAGTATATATAAATTATGGAGCGTATATACATATGTACACTTGTAAATTTGTGCTGAGGAGTTGCGTAGAATGCAGCAGCCTGGTTCGCCCATTCATCTTCATTATGTGCTCTCGTGTGTGTGGCATGCCACAACAACACCTTCAACTACGCAATAACTGCATGCCACACGATTTTGTACGGCGCCTCTTCAATTATTCATAATAATAATAATAACAACATTATTATAATCTGCCGCAAGTGTCAGACCAACAGATATGCAAATCCATCAGTCAAATGTTGGGCGCCTTGACGTCATGCCGGGCGACGTACGTCAAACAGACAGCCAGCCAATCAGGCAGTCAGTCCCTTTTGCATTACTCATGTGGCAAATGAAGTGGGAAGGCGCAAGCATCGCGTCGTAGGTGTAGCAGGCGGCGCCTCGCCTCGCCTTGCTTCGTCTCGTGTGTCGGGCGTCCAAGTGGACGGCGATTGGATGAATGTTCACTTATTGAATTATTGTGGCACATTGCAGTGCGGAATGCGGATGTTTCTGTTCGTGTTCGTGTTGTTGTTGCTACTGTTGTTATTGCTCTTGTGTTTGTTGCCACAATGTAACGATTGTTGACGGCGATATACATATATTTGCATTACTTACTGTCAGAAGCGATTGTAACTGCAACAGTGACTGAAATGGTATTAAAAGCAATAACAACAACAACAACAACAACAACAACAGCACCAACAAAAGCAGCAACGCAGTTATATTTGTGCAGTAACTTCATCAAGATGAATATGCAAATTGGCACAGTGTTGCAAGAAGGCGACGTGCAACTCGAAGACGTCGGACGCAGTGGAGTAAATCGAAGGCGGCGGTAAGCAAAGAATATCTGCTCCTTGCCAAGTTGAAGTCATTATTGGCACTCTCAGGCGTCCGCAAAGTGCTTGGAAGTGGCACCATGAGACTTGATTGCCACGCTAAATAAGGGAAATATGCGGCAAGTCAGTGGCGATGATGGGTGTCGGTTCACCCAGCCTGTGGCTTGTCCTGTATCTAGTCTTGTGTCTTGTCGTTTTCGGTAGTTTCGCGACGGTAGAAATGTTGGCCAACTCCGCGCGGATGCGCTCGCGTATTTATCGTAAATTTTAATGTCTACTTCGCGTGCGGCTTGCAATAATTTAAATTAAATTCTTTACACCACCAACCGAGCCATCAGCCAACCTACTAATCGGCCAAGCAACCCACTGACAGACCAACCGATATTATCTTCTGGCTCGTGTGTATGTGTGTGTGTGTGAATTCGTGAATGATTCGCAACGGCTGGTTGACTTTATTATCCTAAGCTCAGGCTCCTTCTCTTATTTGCTCACACTCTCCTCTTTCGCATTGCTTATCATTTTATTGCAATTTTGAGCAAATATAATTGCCAAAGCAAGTTAATGATTATGGTGATTTATGAAATAAAGTACTTTGCCATAATGGCTAACTGATTGCGTGGAAAACAGGAGTCCTTGATTGTTGTAATACAACTGAAAGTTGATATTTTTCTAGTGCAAAGAAATTTTTCTTTTATTAAATTAAAAAATTTCAGAAAATTATTTCTTGGTGGGAAAAATCAATTAGAGTGAAATCAATTCCTGAAAATTCTTAAATGAAACCTTCGGGACGGAGTGAAGTGCTATTAGCAATTGAAATAAGTCAATTATGGGGGTTGAATAAAGAGGAGAACGAGAGGGAGAGGGGCAAAGAAGCAGTCTATAGAGTGACTGTGGTGATGCTACAGCATGCAATGGCTTGACTTGCAAGACGGCAGTTAAGGAGGATGGGCACGTGAATTCAACTTACTTATGAATGTGAGACGTAAGAATGTTTTTACTTTCTCTGACGACCTTGACAAGAAAGAGCACGTGTCTGGTATCAGTGTGGGAGCTCACATGTCTAAATCTATGCGATCTTGAGCTTCATAAAAGCATTGACATCCTCTGTATTGAACACGTGACATCGAAGAATTCTCCTGCTTCCGGCTCTACAAAGAATCAACTTGATGTAGGAACCGCGCAGCAGCCAACCAGTATAGTCTAACCTAATAACCAACTAATACTTTTGAAATACCGTCTGGTTACTCCGCCTTTCGCGCAGTAGCCGAGTGGTTAGCATAGCATACTAAGATTCAGAGGCTCAGGGTTCAAATTCTGGTTCAAATTTTTATAAACGTCCCCCGGCAGAGAATTTCAGACCCTCCGAATGAATTTCTGATAGGAAAGTCAAAGCCCTTCATCCATTGGCCGTTCGGAAGCGGCTTAGAATAAATTATAGAATCCTTCCTTGTTGGGGAAATATCCAGGTGCATACCAAAAAATAGAGATGAGCTCGGTCGAAAATCGTTTCAATCGTTGCAAGTTTTTAACTGGCCGGTATCGGAATCCTTTACAAACTATTTAATAGCACATATCGCTGTCAACTCTTAAAGTTTGTTCATTTAAAAGCATCAAGTTTTCAAATATCCAACGGAGTATGAATATGCCCAGTCTAAGGTAAAATTTCAGAATTGTGCAGCTTAATTAAAATCCAAGTTTTTTTTTAAAATAGTCATCTTTTCTAAACTAAATTTTTTGATTCGAAAATGTGGTTGAAGCTTTCGCCTTAAATTAACGTTTCGTGATAGAAATACCACTTAGAGATAATAACACTTAACGAAACTCAACTCTCCGTTTATTTCACCCTGAATTAACCTAACTTACTCAAAAGTAACTCTTTCCACCTTAACTCACCACAACTCAGTGCAGATTTATTTAACTGCTATGCCCAAATGAGAGCGTTGAGCGCTAAACAACTGTCAAAAGTCGTCATGGCCTTACAATTTATAGAGGACATCTCACATCCCACAATAATGCGGCAGCAATGTTGAGCAAATGGAATTTTCAATTTTGACAGCGCGTTACCTGATAAAGTTAGATGCGAGGGATAAAAGTGTGAGTGAAAGGAAAAAAGCCATTGAATAGGAATAGGCACATAGCAAATGGCTGATAATTTTGCCAACCGCTTATTTTCGTAGTATCTTGTATGAAATAAATGCAATTAGTATACCAAATGTTCTCTAAATGATACGCACTTGAAGAGAAAGAGAAGACGCCAAGGCGTTAGCGCTCTTATTTAGGAATGCCACTCATAAGGAAACTCAACGCTCCAGTAACTTAGTTCGAGCCCACTCTCTTCATTTTGCCTCATCTTACTTCATCAAAACACAGACAGCTCAATTGAACTCAGCAAAAATAAACTCTATAGAGTCCACCACACTTTCAATTGAATTAACTTAAGGACAGCCTCTCGGGATCTAATCTTCAATCACGACTCTCAACCCATCAGCCAATTTAAAAACACAATGTAATGCAACACAAATCAACTCCACAGAACAATCCTACAGAAACCCTACCCAACCAACTGAGCTTTAGGTTGGCATGATAGATATGGTGTCTTCATTGTCACATATTTTTGTATTTTCATGCTCCCAAATCCACCTCACTTAAAGCCAAAAAGGTCTCTAGTAGAAGAGTGTTCGTCCCGCCTTCACAGTTTTACAGCAAACGATAAATATCGTCAAAACTTATCTTCACTTTACAATCGGTTAGGTGCCCGTGATCGTGGTAATGCTTGGAAGAAAGAAATCGTGGAACTCCAAGGCTCACTTTGCCGATTACGGAGTTATTTTAGTCATCAATAATGTTAATATGAATAAACCAACACTCTCGCTCAATTAGCTACGTCCTCTCAAATGCAAACACCGTAATCCTCTTTAAAAAACCGCACTCCTCAACACTCGCTACAGATAACCGACGATGAGAATGCCTACCCAAAAGCCACTCGAGTAACCGTAAATCGCTAAATTAAATTGACACAGGACACGAAAATGTACACACACACACACACATACACTCAACACAATTGCATTTATTGTTTTCAGCATTGTGCACTTATTCGAAAATAGAAAAGAAAATCCAAATGTCGAAAACCGAAAACCGAAAAAAACCCATGTCCCTACATATTATATGCGATTACAATAATGTCCATGCTGTGTTGTAATAAAATAGGAGTATGTGGTACATATATGTATATATGTGCATATGTATGTGTGTAGTCCTTGCCAAGAGGTGTAGAGTGGCAATAGCTAACAGCAACAACAACAACAACAACAAAACGATAATGGATATTGCAAGTGGCTAGGCAAATGGCATACAATGACAGCAGCAACAGCAATAAAAACAACAACACCAATGCTAACAAAATCACAAACTGACAATTGAGCAAATTGAATTTATTGCTTTACAACAACGCAAAGAGAAAAATAAAAAGGCTTCGCTTTTATGCCCTACACAAATGAAAGCAAATTCAATTTCCGTGTTAAAAATATTTACGGAAAACGATATTTGGTATCCAAATGAATCAGAAGTGTTATTTTAAAAATGAGTAGATTACGAAAATAGAGTTTTTGAACAAGCAGTTTGATGGCAGCTACATATATGTTAAACCATTCCGATTTTGATGATTTTCATTGTTGGATGTTTGTTCATGTTCAAGTTACCAAAATGCCGAGTTTAACGTGCCTGGTCATTTAATTGGAGGAGTTGCGACTCAAAAACTCGTTTTTGAGCACTTCTTTGTTTGGCAGCCTTACTATATTTTATTCCAATTTCGGTCATTTTCACTCCCAACTATCTGCTTATGATAAGCAAAGAAATTGAAAATTTTATGGTTTTTTGTGGCATATTTGAATAAGTTGCACCATAAAATGCAGTTTTTCAACAAAAAGTTGTATGGCAGCTACATGTTTTTGTAATCGAATTTTAGTGATTTTCACAGTTGTGTATTCACTAATAAAAAGCTACATTTTGACCGAATTTCACTTGCCTAGTCACTTAATTGGCGGAGTTCTGACTCAAGAACGCGTTTTTTAACCCTTACTTGTATGACAACCAAACGGCGTTTTATGGCAATTTCGATCATTCTCACTCCCAACCATGCATCTGCAAAAGAAATAACAAGCAAAGTGGCAGTTTTCACATTTCTAGCACCTCGATTGCAGAAATTCTTATGAAAAATACTATTTTTGAATACCGAGTTACATGACAACCATAGGTTATACATAGCAATGCGTTCTTATTAATTTTCATTATTCAAATGAGGCGTAAAACATAAAAAAATCACTTTCTTACCTCAGCCCAGCAGCGACCCGCATAACAGTATATTTAAGAGATGTGCGTGTGTGCGTTTTCAGACAACTCTCTTATTTGAATGACAAAATAACTAAGTCGAAAGGTTAAGTTTGTTATTCTCCATTTCTATTTTAATTTTCATTTTTCAACTATCCAATTCAAAACAGAAGAGCGATGGGAAAGAGTGTATGCTGTGGTCATAATAGCAACCGATTGTTGCTGACAGTTACATCAGCAATCAAAATCTGCATGTTCACTACTACGCCACACACCTCGGTAGACCATAATCGTTCAGCCCAACCGCCCTTTTTTGTTTGTTACAAAAGTCAAGTCAAACATTGGCCTCATTGTGGGCGCCGACAAGTGCAAATAGATCACAAAATTGCGCTTAAGGACAATTCAGAAATGTCACTCCACACTATCTCTATATGTATTAAAAGAGATAGCGGTGCGGCTGTGTGGCTGTGTGGCTGTGCTGCTGGTCAAACAGTACGGGCGTCCTCTTATCTGAGTCAGAGTCAGAGTCAGAGTCGATAGCCAATGGCAGTTACGTCAAAGTGTCAGGATTGCGAGTTGCTTTCACCAACCACTATCCAGGCGTACAAGTGAACGCGCACGTATGTATATAGGCGCACCTACACACGCATACGCTAACCACATTTATGTCCATCAAGGAAGCCAACGTACATTAATACTGAGTGAGCAGCCCTTATCCTTTTGTCTGCCATATACCCTTTTCGCAGGCGAGAGACGGAGAACGTTTGTCCATTTTGTTCGGACAATCAACCTATCACGATGACACACATACACATACAGTTTCTGAACTGAGCTCGTTTCATTTAATTTCAACACTTCACTTCACATCTGCTTTACTTTTGGTCCCTCCGTCGTCTGTTCAATCGGCGATCCATCCACCCGTCGTCGGTCAATCTGTGTGACATGACATCTCTAACTGCTAACTGCAGCCTCTCTGCATGCAGGTTTACCGTTATCGCACTCTTAGCGCTCATGTCGTATAGCTTAAATGGTCAATTAAATTCAGAATAGATTCACTTTTCAAATTGAAATGTAATTGGGACTTTTGAGCTTTGCCATTGATCCCTGATTTAGACCTTAACTCACCATGTACGCGTGTGTGTATGCATATATGTGTTTGTATGTGTGTGGAACGCAAATATTAGGTGTACACAGGTTGTTGTTGTCATCATCATCATCATCATCATCTACGAGCAAGCCATTATAACGGTAAATCGCATGGATTTTACTTTATCTAATAGCCACACTCACCACAAGCGAGCCTATACCAAACAACAGTGAACCGAATTTCTAACCAACGACAGGCCGAGGGTTTTCACAACAATCCAAATGGGCAAACGAAGCCAATCGTCCAAATGCATGACAACTCAATTTATGTCTCTTTCTTTGTTTCTCCTACCGCATTGCTCACTTTTTTCGCTCCGATTTGTGCTTTCGAATGTCACTCATCTCTCTCCCTGGCTATCTTAGGCACACGGTGACCTTAAATTGTGCTTCGTTTCTGCCTGTCCTACATTCGCCGAAAGTTAAGAAGTATAAAAAGAAAAAGGAAAAATTGAAGCAGAAAGTTTCAGTCACTTCTTTCCAATGTCATTTGCCCTTTCGGTTGCTGATCTCCCATAGTGAAATTGAATTCTTCAAGAACTTTGGTTTTATGAAAAGTTTTGACAGTTTTGGAATTAATTGATTCGAAGAATACTATTATAGTAATATTTGAATATTTGAAGTAAAGTGCCACAGCCGCCTCAACGTTGGCACTAACGTTGAAATGAATGCTCAGTTGATTATTCCTCCGCCTCTGAATATACGCTCAGAGAATGAAATCTATGGCCAACAACCTACCTTTCGACCTCCACCTTCAGATTTAAGAATAGTCGATCAGCCGTAGTGTATAAATCATTGGTTTGAGGGCGAAGAAACTAGTTTTATTCATTCAAGTCCTCTGTACTAAGCTCGATCTGAAGCTGAATCAAGATCAAAGATCTCACGATAATATTTGGGCAAGAGACTGGTTCTCTCGATATCTGGAAATATTTGATATTTTTCACCCTATTGCTCCAAAATGATGTGTATAAATAACTGAGCTGGTTGGGGAAGAGTCAATTTTTTGAGTTATTATGTAATATCCTTTAAGTGGTAAAATATTTGAGAAGAGCTGCTCTGAGCGTTCTTCTGCATTAGAAATTAGGTTAGCAGTTAAAAGTCATAGGCAATAGAGGATTAGATGAAAGTAGTTCAATTAAGATCTGAATATTGTAGTCTACTTAACTCCTACCTATCCCGACTTGACCACGATATGCCCAACGTATGTCCGGCATGCAAAGAGGGCCGACACGACTCACCATCTCTTTGTATGCAGAACGAGCATGCTCATTAGTGCTTACACTGACCATAATTGAAAAAAAAGGCAAACCTCCAAAGTATGAATACCGAATTAAATAGAGAAAACTTTGTCAAACTGCGGCCAATTTCTCTTGCCGTAGCGTTAACAAATCTAGTATTTATTTATGTCCAGCAGAACAAAATGCCAGTCCCTCAGCGTCATACCCTCGGGTAGCCAATACTTTGTCTAATTTATTGAATTGGTGAGTAATTATTGCGGCACTCTGTTCTTAACTCTCCTCTACTCCACTATCTCCTCCTCCTCACCGCTGCTCTGCTATTTGCTCTATTCAGCTCTGCGCTGCGCTACCCCCAACTGTAGTTTATATATTAAAAAGTTTTTTTCTGGCTCCCTCATTGCCGTTGTTGTGGTGAGACACAACCACTTCTCTCACAACCAACCACGATGGCGTCGCTTTGCGGCAAATTAACGCGCCTCTGGCCCAATTCAATCAAGATTCTAATTGCCATCGTCCATTTCTCGCTAAATTGGAAGTGTTGAAATTGGTTGTGTGGTCACTTGTCGGGAAAGTTTTATGCCGCTGCGGATATGTCGAGCGTCGATGTTCAGTTGTGTTGCAGTAAAGCAGCTCTGGCGATATAACTTGGGTATAAGCAAATGTGCGTTTTCAAATATTAAGTTTTGTTTAGCTTAGGCTTTAACGTAAGTTTGAATGGGCGAAATTCTCTTCTGCTTTGTTTTGAATGACTCGAAAGGACCTTTCAATGTCTGACAGGTTGTAGGCAAAGTTTCCTCGTTTCCGGTTTCAATGATGAAGAGATCAGATAATAAGCACGATTTCTCGAATTCCTCTTGAAAGGCTGAATGTGGCAAAAACCTTCCCAAATTAAGATAGTGTCAAAATGTACTCTCTTCGCTAAACCTTCTCTTCTTTTACAAAGAAGCAATTATATGACTGCCGGAAATGCATCAGCGAGCTCTCAAATGTCTTCAAATAAACCTTAATAGTTTCGCTCTATCAATATGTCTTTATTGGTCAATTGAAGAGGCTGGAATTTCTGGTGGTTTTGAAATCAACGGACAGATGAACGGCGAAAACTTGATAGAGAGCTCTCAATAAAAAGCAAAGTGAGTCTGCCACCTCATAACTGATAGATACATTGTACATTGCTTGGAAATATAAGTTTTGTTCATAAATACTTAAGCGTCTAGTGACTATAAGATGTCATCTGTTGCAGTCTGCCTTAAGAAAGCCAATCATTCTACCAATGAGCCCACTCCTTTTTGTTATCGACAGCTGAACTGCATACAAACTCAGTGACAAATACAAAATATTACCAGTTTTGCTTTAATGACTGATTAGTTATATGAAAACTGGAGTATGGAATTTTTATAGCTACAGTAATTCATGATTAGATACCTATGCTTGTTATAAATTTAAATTTAAATTCAAGACAAATGTCTCTCGCTCTCCACTGCTCGCTACCGCAGAGTATTTGGGATTGGACAGATAAACAAGAAACACTGAACACTAATAGTTTTGCTATCATTGCTTCATTGCTGACAACCAATTTGCTGAGAGTTCAAAACTACCCCTTCCCCCTCCACACCTCGTGTCAGCTGATACTCTGGAAAAATGGAAATATACACGGAAATGGATATTGCAACATGTTAACCATCGCAACGAAAACGAAGAGGAAGACGAACGCAAAGAATAATGCAGAAAATTTGCATCGAAAATTCATCGAAATCTCAAAAACCAACGAAATTCAAGTGTGACAAGTTGCTCTCCCTCATCTGCTTTTCTTCAGCCGAAAATGCACAAGCCATGCTGGAAAGCAGAAAAACACGAAATTCCACTAGAATATGTCACAACCGTACACCTCACGTACTTGCAGACAAGTTGACAAGCTCGGATAGCTAACTGTATTTGAGTGTGTCGTGTGTGTGTGTGTTTATTTGCTGTGGAGACGTTTTACAGAAGAGCATGCGATACGAAGAATGATTTTACTGCCGATGCTGATGATGTTGTATCCGTGTCTGATTTCTATTCTGTTTGCGATGTTGATTTATGCAACAACTGCAAGAGCATGCAAGCCATACTTGGCCTCAGAGCATGTACACACACACACGCACATACATATACGCATCCAAATGTGTTTAGTATCTGACAAATAAAGTTCGCAGAGTTAAACAGCCCAATAGACAGAGCTCAGAAGTGTTGGAAAACAACAAAATAGTAATAATAAAATAAAATCAGCGTTGCCATTTTTGCCATTCTCCAGCAGGATCTCTGCGAAGCGATAGATGTATCATGACTGTAGGGAAAAGCTAAATAAATTTTAGCTTAATACTTATATTTTGAAGACGAAATCATACTAGTTTGTTCGATACCAGAATTCTACCAGCGCTTAAAGGGCAAAAAAATACTAGTCTGTCAAAGACTAGAATTATACTGGTATTTTTCGGTAAAATCTGTATTAATTTGCAAAAGTTCTAGTATATGAACTAGTATTTGGAGGACGAATTCATACCAGTTTGCCGTTTTACAAAAACTAGCAGGACTCATAAGTAACCAGAAACTCCGACGACACATTGACGCTACAACAACAGCAGCAGCCATTGAGTTTAATTTTAAAATATGATGTGCAGTCATAATTAAGCTTCCTGGATAGAAATAATGCAGCAAATTTCAAGTAAAGTGAGCCAAGTTGGTCCCAAGTCAACTATTCGTGAAATGGGTTTTTCAAAGCAATTCTTAAATCTACTTAAACTCACATAAAAGGAAATTATTAAAATCGGTTGAGCCGTTTTGAATGCCGGAATTAAGCAAACTGGTTTTTGACTAGACTGGTCTGAGGAGAGCTGGTTCTGAATTGGTATGAACTAACCAGTATTTTTACTGGTATATGTGCAGAGGTATTTAACTAGTATGAAGCTGATATATAGACTCACAGTTCTTATATGGAAAATGGATGAAAAATGAACTAGTTGTTGTAAAAATGTAAACTAGTTGGATTCTTGTTAGTATTTTTCACTGCAAGCATTTTATAAGACAATAAATGTACCCTTCTTGCGCTATAAAGAATCGATAAATGCCGAGCCTCTTCATCAATAAAAATCATACTTTATATTTTAAACCCGTTTTTGTGGGTTTTTAATTGCAACAATAAAAATTTTTTAAACCATCACAAAGGCGAAAGGTTAATAAAAATTGTCCTAAGATCGAAATATATATTAATCGAGACATATTTTAGAAATACTCATATATTTGCAGCACAAGGTACTCATCGGAATATGAAAATTAGTGTGACAACAGAAAAATATTAGAAAGCAATGATTGGAATGATTATTAGATTTTTTCTCTCTTAAATTCTCGAGCATTAAATTAATTTCGTTTGGCTTCAAATGTTTTAAATACTTTCGGCAAAACTTTATTTTCATTTGAATTTTACTGTAAAAGAAAAAGTAAATGCTTTTGTACTTGCATAAATTGCTAATGCAAATCATTTGCATATTTTTCAAATATATTTGTACATACATACATATGTATATTACATGAATTTACTTTGTATTGAGAATATCTTGCATTCTTAAGTCTTGTGCATGTCAATACGCTGATCGTTATCAACACACGCATACATACATACTAACAACTGATTCTGCTCACCTACGCTTTTTAAACAAGAACTTTGCGCATTTCTCTCATCTTTGTTTTTGTTTTGAAGCTAAAGTAACTTTTTTCCCTTTCCTTGCACTCGAAATGACGTCCAACTTTGCAATTTGCGCTCAGACATTCAACTAAATATCTAATATACCCTATATACTTCTCGCCATTGTTATATTTCTCAAATGTTTTTTTCATTCTCCACAAGCTTGGGTTTCCTTCCCACCGCTAGCATTTTCTGCTGAAGTTCGTAGCGAATGTGAAATTGAATTCTTGCAACTGTCAAATTGAATAGTTTGTTTTTGTTTGCTTCTGCTTGCTCTTCCATCTACTTTGTTGTTCCTCCGCTGGCTTTTTCTCGGACAGTTCGCTTGGCTTGCACTTCTTCGCTAACTTTTCTCGCATAGCCGAACACCACAAGTTAGTTGCTCTGAAGTTCCCAGTTTGATGTAGTTTTCGATTTCTTATCTTGCAACAGTTGCTCACTTTTGAGTGAAAGGAAAGGAGTGTTCTTTGTGGGAGTGGTAATCTCGGTGTTGCGTCAGATATAACAAAAATCCTATGAAAGCCTAAATTAACGGTAATTTTGGACCGTCCTCTAAAGTATATTTTTATCCCTTTCGCTAACGATTATGCGATTCTCTAACTTAGTTTTTGCGATAACTGACAACGCACACTTCCATTTTATTAAAAGGAAGAAAAGGTGGCATCAAAGCTTAACAAAATGTCAGAATATGTGAAAAGGACAAAGAGGAACAACAAAAACAAATAAATTTGTTATAGGAATTATTTTTATTAAATAAATAACAATGCACTGCAAAGTTAATCAAATCAAAAACACGTTCTGATTTGGAGTTTCATGCATGACTCCTTGGTCTGTAGAGAAGCTCCAAATAAAGTAGTCGTGCCGCGCCCTTGGGTACTTAGCATTTGCAGCCAAAATCTTGAGATAAGGATCACATGACTTTGTATAAATATAATGAACTTTGTTACTACAATAGTAATTAAAATAAAATATACTCTCAGCATTTGCACGTTGGTAGAATGGTATCCATAAAGGTTGGGATAGGTTTCTTCATGATTTCTGGGACTCCAAGCTTCGCGGGAAACATTCAACGGTTGACTGCTTCCTTTAACGCGATGAATGCATAGCCTCACTGATGACTGACTCATGGGTATTACCTATTGCTCTCCAACGGGACGTTGGTAGTGTCCAGTCGCAAAGAATCGGAAGGAGGTTAGAACCTTTAAACAGTTTAATAGTGTAAAAATTGAAAAATATTTAAAAGTTATATTATTACCTGTTTTTCCGTTGATTTTTTTTTTCATTTTCTGCCTTTTAGTTGGCTACAAAGAAATTCGATTGAATTCAAGCGGAAACGTTCTTCAACTTCTCGAAGTCAAATTCTATCCAGTGATGAAGGGTACAATACCCCTCATCTTGGAATAAAACATATGTCAAATACTAAAAATCCATTTTTATTTATATTTTCATTTTGATTTTCATAAAACTTCGTCAATTTCCCGATTTACTTAACTTTAATTTAACCTTTATGAAAGAACAATATTCGTCGCTTAATTAGCGTTTTGTCGAGTAGTTTACGACACCAGCGATAGCGAATATCGTTAAAATAACTACCCTGAATATTAAAATCGTAAGAATCAGCGCTAAGTCTTAATTGCGATCCGAAAACCGTTATAATACGATAGGGAACTCCGAGCAAAGCACTTAAATGTGGGCTACGTTACGTATGTAGTCTTCTAGTTTCGATTATTTTCAGTACTAATTTTTTGATTATTATACGAGTATGCGTTACTTATTATTCACCGAAGACTCCAGTGGTATTTTTGTTACAAGATATAGCATCGTTCACCTTCCCCATAATTATTTACTGCACCTTTATCAACTCAAAGTTTCTTTTAGTTTTTGTGACGTCCCAGCATCTTCTACATATTTGGGTAGTCCTGTTTGACCAGAGCGAATATATTGAGCTCTCACGTCGTGGGAATCCTCGTTCTCGGACTCACTCGCTATAGCAAACTCCTCATCTTCATTATCGGAGTCACTTCTCAAATTCAGCTGGAAGATTTTCTGCTTCTTCATTTCCAGTATGCCTTCCGTATGCCTTCTACAAACTTTACGTCACGCCGCGCTATGATTGCCCGTTGTTGTCGATCATATAACCGATATGCCTTCGCTGTATTGGAGTATCCAACAAATATATACTCCTTTCCCTTGGCTTGAAATTTTCCTGCACTAGCCTTATCCAGCGAAAATGCACGCGAATCAAATGCACGCAAATAATTGACCGAAGCTCCATGGAATACGGCCGCTTAAAACTTGAGTAGGGCATCTATTTCTTAAGTAAACTGCAGTTTGTACCGCTTCTGCGCACAAAAACTATTCCATTTTCACAAGGATTAATAAGGCTTTGCTCATTTCCGCTATTGCACGGTTAGCTCGTTCCCCGACACCGTTTTTTTATGATGTGTAAGAAATGATCAATTCCACATTCTTTCAAATATTTGTTGTTTTTATTACTGACATAAAAAGTCAAGCAGAAAATTGTGATCTAAGTTGATTTATTTCAGCCTAGAGCAGACTCATAAAGAAAAAGTAGAGCAAATAAAAGCAAAAAAGTTTTCATGAAACACAACTTCTTGAAATAGAGTAACCTGGCGTAACCTAGAGAGCAGCACAATAAACAAACCTATTCTTTGCTATTATCACTTCACTATTTAAATTTGAAAAATATAAAAATATCTTCCTACTTCACAAGTTCGAGCACTTTATTTGTTGACCTTTCTGTCTTTTGTGAAAGCTTTAACGCACAAAATTCTCACTTTATTACACATATCACAAATAATTAATTGAGACAGTCTTTCAATTCAAACCACAAACTAAACTAAACCATTTGAGCTCCCCGCAAACTCGTTCTGCCGCACGCTGCTCTTCGTAGAATTTCGGCACTCGTTTGCCCGACGGCCAACTTGTTGACAGTTGAAACCTTTCCCCTTAAATTTGAAAATTTTTCTGCTTCTGTATCCCTTGTATTGCTTTGCGAGTACTGCGTGCTGCTACCGCTTGGCTGCTTTTGCGTTGTACTTGTGTATTTAGTGCTTCTTGCGCATGAGTAAGCCGCTTGCATACCCTTTCGCTCATCTCTCTCTTGCTTCCGTGTGTTTTTCTCTAAAATTGTTGCTTTTAATCAGAGTTTACACGGGGATACCCTCTGTCGACGTAGGGAAGAAGGCGGCGACGCACCTTGTGCTTTGTTTCATATTTGTAGATTTTGACATTCTATTTATTTGGATTTTGTCTTTTTGAACTGATTGTAGCTGTCTTAATTTTTAAGCGAATAAATGCCGTAAATTTGGAAATTGAAATTTGAGTTTCTTCTACAATTTTTATATGTGCATGCATATCGGGATACATATATATATATATGTACAAATGTATATCTAATTATTAATATTGCGAGTGTAAAATAAAGCGAAGTAGAGAAAAAAAATTAAGAAGAAACAAATCACAAAAAAGGTTCTTGAAGAAAGTATCTCTGTGTGAACGTGAAGGGCGAGACCGAAAGGAGAAATTAGAATAAAAAGCGACAAAAAGTATTCCCGTGTAAACTCAGCCATACGCAACCTCATTGTCGCCATGTGGTATGCTCAAACGTAACAGTCTTTGGTATATTCGCACTTTCTTTACTGGACCAACTGACGTCGGTTTAACGTTTAAAATAATGCATGCAACGCCTTTTATTCAGCCGTTTCAAATTGTGTAAGTCAACTTCACACTTCCCGCTCAGGACATCCCACAAATTTGTTGTGATTAGCACACTTCGCATGAATACCGACCACATGTCGTAGTTTTCTTCTCCCAGTTTTTCTATTCGGAGATGCACATTCATGTTGATTAGTTTTTTTTTCACAAACCCGTTGTTTTACTTAATTGCCCGCTTGGCCCATAACCAATGTTGCAGAGCCTTATTATCGAGAAGAAAACGCAGTGTCATTGGTTCAAAACTTTAATCAGAGCTAAAACTAAGAATACAGAGTATGTATGTAAGTATGTAACACATATAAATTCTTCTAGTAGGTTTACATTTCCAACAGCTGAGAATTCATGAGATACTTTGAAATTTCCAAAAGAATGGGTGGAAGTATACTTAAGTAGGTGAATCGGCCGTTCCTTACCGAGTGATTACTCTTTGATAGGATCGCCCCAAACAAGATGTTGCTCGGCTTCTATAGAATTAGCTTTGCTCTTAAAAATTTACATACGTTTTAAATCAATCTTCCATCTTAGACGACCTCGACCTCGCTCTTGCTTTTCGCTTTTTTCATTTATTAAACGCATATAAATGATTTGTCTGTTCCGGCCAGTTTGGTTGACTACACCACAAAAGTCCCTTACAACTGATTTATTCACATAAAAAATTTTGGGCCTTACATTTTTCAACAAAACCGCTAAGAAACCTTTGAAATCGATGTCCGACACTCACCTACTGAACTGAACATTGGTACTGAAAGTTCTGGATATCAGTCTTTCCTTAAAAAACTTAATTTAATATATTTATTTAAGTTATAAAGGCTTCGCATGGACGAAGACAGCGCTGCTTTCTTGTTCAGGATTTTCTTTGAAAATATTTCTCTTTGCACTGTTCCTTCTATAATTTGAATTCGCCTGCTGAATATTTTTGCGTTTTTGTGTTATTGCGTTGTGTTGTTCCCTTGTCTGGTCTCGTTGTTTGATGGTTTTGTCAGCGCGTGCCATAAGCACTTGCCTGTTGCGAGCAACAAAAGCAGCGACAGTGGCAACAGCACGTCTGACTATGATTTTCCGCCTTGTTGTCTTGGCGCCCACAAGCAAGTACACCCACATACAGACATCTGCACGCGCCGCATGTACACAAACTAAGCCAACAGCTTTTTGGAAACATGCATGCCAGTTCAGCTCATCACTTCGCAGCTCAACTCGTCTCTTCGCGTCATGCCAAAGTCAACGGTTCATAGACATGCATATTTACAGGCACAGCCAGTTAGGCGAATAGTGTGCTCGGTACTCGATGTTCGCTGAGGTTGGTTAGTTGTTGTTTGTTCAAGGCAGTCAGAGGCTACAACAATGTGTTGTCAATTGCAATATTCGATGCTCTGACTACTGCTGCTGCTCTTGCCTACCAGTTGTTGCTGCAAACTCTTACAAAGTCACTTCAGCTGCTTTGGCTGTTATGTGCTGGCAAGCAAATTGGATTTCCCCAATATTTTCTTGTCTAGCTAACCTACAAGGCGACGAACGTTCCCTATGTCGAAGGGTTGTCACAAGCTCGTGTAACATTTACATTGGTAGTTGCAGTTGCTGCACTTGAACTACTGTCTCTGCTGTCGGCACTGCTTAATTTCCATGCATTCCTCGGAGTCCATACTCAGCCGGAATGATGGATCAGGCCATTAGTATGTATGGCATATGCCTTTCTTGCCTCGAAAAGTTCGGTAGCGTGGATGTTGGCGTCGGCTTGTGGTATTTTGTAAGTTTTGCTTTTTGGTTGAATGTATTTAATGCTGTGGATTTACTCAAAGCACTTTTAAACAAATAAGCCTTGGGAAGAGGAACATTAAGTGCAAAATATTTAATATTCATTCGGTTTTGATGCTCTTCAAACTAGACACCTTCCGAAATAACAGACTCATTCAACTGAGCAATCCATCCGCCAATTCATTTTTTAAACGCTTTTCCTGGAACCAGTCGCAGTTCTCTCCTCCAGGAGCCATGGAGCCATCGAGTGGAAATGGATGTCTCAGTAGTGGGGCAGTATTTGAGTTTAAGAAAAAATTGTATGTTCGCGGCAGGGCATGATCTGTTAAAATTTACCGAATTTTTGGCCAGAATTTCGATCTCAATGATAGGCTTGCGACATGATGCATAACCAATAACAATTTTGGCTTTATTCGAAGAATTCGCTTTATCAAATATCATTTAATTTTGATGATGAAATCGCTTAATAAACGGTTTCCCTCAGAGGTTCTCGAAAATCAGCCTTGGGAGTACTATAAATGAGTCCTAAGTGCAGATCCTACAACGTTACCAATTGGAAACAATGAGTGAATAGAAAATGAGGTGAGAAGAAGTGAAGAGATGGCCCTTCTTATAACTTTCGGTATTCAATGAATTTCCCGTTGTGCAAGAGATAAGTTTTCAGACAAGCGGAAATGTTTGCCTGGAGGTGGAGAGCATCCGTTAGTAATTTGTTTGCGTGCTTCTTACAGAATGGCTCTACAATCATGACTGCTTGTATCAATAATGTGGGTGTGGCAGAGCAAACAATAATAACAACGGCAATGCCACTCAATACATTTTAGAATTGTTCCGAATTGCTACTTTTCCGTTGCGTTTTGTTTTGTTTATCTTTGCCGCGCACCGTTACAACAGGACGCACACTTACACATACACACACACACACATACACACACACACATACACACACACACACACACATACACACACACACACATACACTCATGCACATATACAATGAATATTAAATACATTTCTTACACTCTTTGCAAAATAAATGGCTTCGCGTAGTAAGTTTTCATAATGAACGGAAAGACTCAAGTGGTTTTTTTTTATTCAATTTTTAATTTGAACTTTATTCAAATTTAATTATTTTTTTAATGTTTTTTTTAACCTTTAATATTTGTTGAAATGTGTGTTCGTTTAAGGTAGAATCACAGGAGTCTGAAAATACGTGAAAATTCAGTGGAGAAATGTAAAAGTTTATCAAAATTTTGCTGGATTTTTTTTTATTTTTGCTTTAGAAAGCTTTTAATTTTCATAATTTTTCATAAATGCGCCAATTGTCCTTAAATATTATTATAACACAAATTCCTTCCACGTATCTGTCTGTATGTTTGCGATAAACACAAACAATGCTGAAAAGGTTTTCATGTGGTTTGTTGCAGTATAAAGACTGATTCTTCAGAAAGTCAAGTTTTTCTTTGTATTTTTATAACAATTGAACATTAAAACCAATTTTGAGATATTTTTTATTTATTTTAGAACAAAGAAATTGCGCTGTAGAGGCGACCTCCATCTCCCTCTCTCATTTTTACTATCTCGTTCTCCGCTGCATTGCTTTATACAATTGAAAAGAGAGTCAGTGCTTTGAAAAGAAGAACAATGAATAACAATATTTCCGGGCGTAAAACTGATAGAAGACTATAATATTTTCGTAAAAGAAATATAAGAGTACCGCTATAGGAAATTCTGGGATTACTAAAGTTTCTAGATTTCAGAAGTGATTTTCAGAGGGAAATACGGCCAATAATGTTTTTTCTCATTACCCTGTGTAGCTCTCATACAACGAGCGTCTTTGTGTATCCAGCTTTTTACAATTAGCTCCAAACTGTATGTTCTCTTTGCCGGTGTCCATATTTGACATGCGTTCAAACCCCACTGTGTTAAGTGATCAACACCTCTTTCATTATCGTTTCTAGTCCAAAATATCATCTTCCTAACGCCATGAGCGTAATCAGATATCGAAATGGTACAAGTATGTAGATAGATCAATAATAAGAAATAAATTCAATATTGTGAAGCTTAGTTGAAGTTATAACCGTTATTTACATATCACCCCTTTTAGAAAACCAATTATAATATCCAAAGGAAATGGCATACCAGAAAGCCACAACAGCGGTAGACCGGATCAGCTACCGTTTATCTTTAGTATGTGTATAAATGTTGTTAATTTTTGTTGGAGAAAATCTAGATTTTGAAGTACATAATTTTTCCGAAGATCTGCATGTCCCTAGCGAAAAATCATAAAAATTAATGTAAATGAGATTTGGTTTAAAAATAAAGTGCTTAATGTATTGTTGTTGTTTTTTATTTAAAACTCAATAAAAATTTAATCTCTACAACTAAAGTGATAATTATAAGAGAAAACTCTTTTTTGTTCCTCACTGTATATATATATATGGGTGTGTGCGTGTGTATAGTTCTTTGCTGCCCAACGCGCAATAATCAGCTCATTTCGTAATATCAAACAATTAGCACTGACAAAATGTAGCTGGAACTCCGCACACATACACATACACAACGCATACACGCACATACTCGTATTCACACAAAGGCCAACAGCGAGTGCTTCAGCAGAATACAAAACTGCCTACTCGATTGAACAGCTAAGCAAATAAAAACAACTAGCAAACTTTGCAATTGCATTGTGGCTGTTGTTGTTGCTATTGCTACAATAGCCGTTATTACTGCCAGCTGCCCGTTTGACCCATTGCTCTACTGTTTCGTGCCTTTTCATTCTCTAAGTCTTTCAATGAGAAATTTCACTGCTGACTTGTGAACGGCTTAGGTTTGTGGTTGCTATTTTTTGTTATTGTATTCCACTTTTATTTTACGAATCGCTGCCAAATGGCCAAACAGTCATTGTTATTGCTATTTGTTTCCCGGTTAAGAGTTTTGGCTTTCTTTTGTTATTCAGCGCTGCGCCTTCACACATGAAATTTTTTCTCTCTTTTCGTTTTTGGCCAACATTTGGCCGAATATCCTTTATTGTTTGTCTGATGTTCCCATTTGTCCGCTTTATTGCATTTGTCTGTTTAGCATAAAGTGTTTTGCGATAGTATTGGTTAAGTGGAATGAAAAACGAGGAAAATTCGTCTCTTCAGTGGCACATGTGTGTATGCACGGGATTAGAGTTCTATAGAAATTAAGTAAATAAATGAAAGGAATCTCACCATATTAGATTTAATCATATTAAAATTCACAGCATTAAAATTCCCCAAATTAAAACTCACCACAATAAAGTTACACCATGAAAACTTGCCACATTATCATATTAAAAATCAACACGAACAATTTTGTGGTGAATTTTATTGTGGTAAGTATATCTATTATTGATCACCACAACGAAACTTCCTATATATAAATTCTCCACATTTTAGGTGGCTGCCTATTGGGATAATTCTCTGTGGAGCAGTCGCATGCTTGCTATACCAAGCGAGCTCGTTGTCTGGAGAGGTTCTTGCCAATTTCGCCTTACCTTCAGCCACTATAACCATAATTTATAACTCATGCCGTTTGATCTGGGGAAGTAGTGTGGTACACGGCTCTACGAAGAGGGATATGGAAAAGGAAAGTGGTGTAACTATCCTGTCAGTTCGGAGCTGGCCCACCCGCTCTACTCGTGTTCCTTGAGTTGCCATGGACCTTGTTACGGCTGTCATGTTCCCTCCTTTACCTGACATCGGTTCAGCTGCCTATAATACGTCCATTCCTAATTCTGTTTGTTATCGTATCGTCACACACATTTCCCTTATATTACGCCAACGTGTCATAATTTATATAATTTATATTTTGACATTATTATCATAAGTTTTGTTTGTTTAAAGCTCCAATTTGATTATTATTTATTCTATGTATATATCTCTATATATCTATACATATACTCGTATGTGCCCCTATACTATAAAAATTGCTACTTTAACTTCCAAAAAAAGAAAATTATTATAGGACCATGGTGAGCGTGTACTCGTATGTATGCATGTGCATATCGAAGTTTGTACATCGAAAAAAAAAATTTCACAATAAAGCCGATATTTGCAGCGGTGACTGTGTCCCAAACATTGTGTTTCACACTCTCATCCCAACAGTGCAATGCAAACCAGTCAATACTAATGCTAGGAGAAGATATGATTCCTCGCTACCACTATCTATCTACCTACCTACCTCTTATCCAATGTAGGCACCTGCATCCAGAGAGATGGGTGAGCTGGAATGATAGTTACAATTCCAGCTCACCCAAAAACAAAGAAAAGAAACATGGCATGTATAAGAGAGACTGGCAAATCGTGCTTAGAACTGTCCATCGGCATTCATACGCGGCTTTCATCTAATACTTGTTTCGGAGTTTAGTTAATGATAGTGAAGCGGTCATTCCAGAGCTCTACTCTGGACATATTTCATTCTCCTTTTTTTCGTTTTTTTCTTTTCGTGACAATTAGTTAGTTCAATTTCTGAATTGAGTTATTATCATGTATTTTCTGGTAAGCTGGATTCTGCCGGATTCGAAAACTCTGCAAACGAAGAATAAGCTGGAAATGATGAGGGCACCGATTTCATCTGACGCCTTCAGATAGGTACTTGTGTGAGTTCACCATTCAGTACTTACAGGTGGTACCATGGGTCCACATAAGCAGCATGTGGCGTTTTAGCTGCCGATGGGACACTGCTATTACGAGCGCATTGCTACGGTAGAAGCGATTGTTGCGCCGGCACTTCTGCCGTCCACGCATATGCTTCGCTTCCGCTTATGCTGTCGACGTGAATGCTGGGGGTTAGGCGTTCAAGAATTTACCCGAGGTAAGGCATGCCTGTTGTAAGAGGCGACTAAAATTCAATAGTTCCCCCGAAAGTCGGGTCTTTATACCAGAACGACCCTGGTTTTTATCCGGCCAAGGACTGTCACTACCGCAACATTCACCAAAAAGTACTTTGGGGAATATTTTTGCGGTTACAATAACAACAACAACGTGGATGCTTCGTTGACGCTGCTGCGGTCCGCCGTCCAATTGCTTAGCTGCATGAGCGACTCTTCCTCCTCTATTTTCCTTTTTGTGTTCGTAGGCTCTGATCCGTAGTAGCCCGACCCATTTGTACCTGAATTTTATTTCAGCTAGCCTTTTTTCGGTATATATAAATCTAGATTCTAAGTAATATCCGCTTTCCTTTTTTTCTAAGAGGAGTTTTCCTATTTTCACCTTGAGATCCCGGTTAATAATTTACACCTTCGCAGACTGTCACTACATACACGTACACCAAAAATTTATCACTTCACAATTAACCGTACTTTTACCGTGGGACCGTCATGCCTACATCGCAATTTTTTATATTATTATAATAGAAATGTGCTGCTCAGCCAATAAATATCGATAAGCATAGATACGTAGAAGAATGATTAAGAGTTAAGAAACTAATTGATGGTGAAAGTCTTCAAAAGGAGGTGCTCTCGTCGGAACGTTATGGAAACGGGATGGATTCCGTAAAAAGAAAAGACAAAGTGTGTTTGGTGTACCAATGGTGACCAACGGGTTATTGGAGCCCGACTTGACTTGTGTCTTGGCTGGCTTAAAGCTCCAACGGCAATGGAGTCGAAACAGATGAATAGTTTTTTTATCCGATCTAACATCCGTCATTGGTGATGAAGTATTGCGGATCTAGTATGCTCGGGGTCGTTAAGCGAGAACCCCAAATTCTTCAGATCAGTACTAGTGTCCAATAGTAGAACGAACATGATATGGTTAACCCCAAATCGAGTGATAGGGCTGTCAGGCCGGACAAAAAAGAGAATGGAAAACGGGAGATTTAACCCGAGGATACAAGTAGGAAGTGGTTATATTATTATTATTGTTATTGTTGTTTTCGTTGGTGACGGATGATCAAGAAATACGTCTATATTTGGATATTAGGATTCGAAGTTTCGCTTTTAGTGAGTATTGATTCATCGTGAGATCGTCTCGCGGTTGAAGGTCCTGGTAGGTTTTGGGTTTTGTTTTGTTATCAATAGAAGTGGATAGCAAGCTGGTTCTCTTGTCACCTCCGGCTGCCGTGTCACCTCTGGGCGAGTCTTACCCTAGATGAGTGGAAGACCATTCGAATAAAATGGAACACGGTAATTGACTCATCCCATTAACGACAATCGTTTCAAAGGTGCACAAGCCAATAAAGAGAAGAGCAGAGCGCAAATTATGCTTAAATCCTCAGCGCTTACAACACCGATCATAAAAACTTCTGGCCTTCAAATAACTTCAACAAAACCACCAATTAAAACATTCTCGTTTTTACATATACGTGTAAGTACACAACTTGACTTTTGGTATTTAATTTACATATGGGTTTCTTTCATTTTCACCATCCAATACTTTTACTCTTTTACTGTGAATTCTTTACTTTCCCCAGTTGTTCTTCTCCTTTCCTCACAGACGACGCGTACAACGTACTGAACGGAATATCAGCAATCTTTACACCCGCAGCCCTCTCGACCGCACATATCATTCACTTCATTGGCGAACGGAAAATTGCAAAAGTTATTCACTTACTTTTTAACCAAACTTCACAATTCACTTTTCAAAGTTTACCGTGGCGTGCCAAAAGTAAATAACTGACACAATCTGCCTGCGAAGCTAACCAAACAAGCGCGCTGAGCTAGAGAGTGCGAGAGAGAGAGAGAGAGAGAGAGAGAGACGAAGGAGCAGTATTTAGTTTTCTTAGCCGCCACCAACAATTTCAAGAGTGCCCCGCCCACTTCATTTTGATTAAGTTGCTACTATTTTTTCACTTTTCGTGAATTTTTCCCTCCTCATATTTGAATTTAAAATTGACTTTGAATATCAATTTCAATGGAAGTGTTGGTATACATTGCTATGTATGTATGTATGTATCTATCTATCTATCTGTATGTACGTATGTATGCCACATTTGAATATTTGAAAAGTTTTATCAGATAAATGTTTATAGAAAGTTTTGCAATGTACATATATATGTACGTATTAGAACCAAAAATACCTTCCCGATTCCGATTGGGCGGTCTCGTACCACCTGTACCTCCCAAAGTCCCTAGACGACCTAGGCTTATTTTACCCTTTATCACTGCTACTATTTTCGTCTTTTCTGATTCGAGGAAGTTTTAGGAAACCAGCGATGTTGAGTTAATTAAACTAGCCGGTTCAAAACTGCCTTAATCGATTTCTAGTAAGCATCTCGGAAAGCAGATGGATGATCGCAAGAGTCCTCTCTGAAAAGTTGCCACGCGGAAGAAAGATGAACTGCAAGCCCAATACCATGAGCAAAAGCATTAACGTTGGATGTTCGCCATGTGGAACCTAAGAAAGTGGAAACCCAGCTACTTACTTCGATACAGCTTTGCCTGCGTCAGGGGTGCGAATTCCGGAGAGAAAGAGAAATTAAACCCTGACAAAAGAGCTGACATACACTCCGGTAAAGCTGGACGCGCAGCAGGCGGGTACGTGTAGCCAACTCTATCGGACTAGTCAATGAAGTTTAGCCTAAAATTCAGCCACTGCCTCCAGATACCGAGAGGCGCCGAACTCCCGGGGAGGCCAATCGACAAAAAAAAAGTCCTGAAATCACATATCTTTAACAGAGGAACACTGAAAGTATGGAACTCTTTCAATGTATGACGCAGGTTTTAGATAGACTAAACTATCTAAGTAACTTATAATTCTTATGGAGGCATTAGCGGGGCCTCTATCCCTGAGATATCAGAGATTAAAATAGATGTGACGTCATGACGTCATTCATGATGCTCCTAGCTGCAACTCCATCGATTTTGAAACAAGCTTAAAGAGCAAAATGAGCCTTCTCAATAGCTTAGGTGCGGCCGCTTCCGGTCAGATCCTCAACCCTCCTCTTTTAACCTACCAACCAAATGTTGTTTCTTTTGTTTAGTTGTCCTTGTGTTGCTATGGCCTTTCGGTATGAAGAGTTTAAATTTTTAGATCAAAAACTTTTATTTTATTATTTCCTCTTTTTGTGCAATGACTGCCCCTTCATTTAATAAGCTTTATCCTCAACTCTCGCGAAGTTAACTAAAAATTACATTTTTAATTTTCCTCCTATTCCCACTAACAATTAAATTGTCAACTCATTCGCCATTCGCAATTCTCCATTGTATTTTGTGCATCAAAGTGAGTGGCGGCGATTCTTTAATGCATCATGGTTGAGTGAGAAAAGAACATCATTAACGTCCAGCAAAGCTAATCAAAATTAATGATTGTGCACAATGAGCTTAAAGGAATCCTTCGGCGCAACAAAAGAATGCCAACTGCACCCGCACAACACAAAACTCATGGAGAAAAAGTATAAAGGAGGAGAAATAAATGATTAACAAAAACGGAAAGCAAAAAAGTCAATTCGAAAGGGGACAAACACAGTTGCTGTGTGCAAACAAGCAAAAGTGCAACAGAACAAAGTAATTGCCAACATTTCTCACACACCACGCCGTCAAACTCGCCCCGAGCACTTATGCCAACATTGTGTTGTTGTGTACAGACTTTCGTGCTCCACTGTACTCTGTGTATTGGCGTCGAGTTGCATTGCTTGTCGAGTAGTTTTTATTTAACAAAAATACAATTGAAATAAAAATAGAAATTAAACTATTGACACCCCTTTCCGCCCTCCACTTCTAGATTGCACATGCGTATGCACTTCAGGCGATTACACAAAGCTAACGGTATGAACTCCCTCCGCTTTCCGTCACCGGCGTGTTGCAAAAATTATACTCACTGCGTTTGGCGCTGGATAAATATAAGTAAAATTTATGAGCGCCATACTGGGTGCGGTCTCAAGTGCACACACACACACACA